TCCGACTCATGCTGGTCAGCCCCATGGCTGTGTTAGTGTCCACAGCAGGGAGGCTCTTACGTGTTGACAGTACTCTCCTAACAGAAAGGCTGGTTAGGGAGTTCAATATCTAGCTAATTAAAGCCCAGTGGAGGCAGAAAAATCTCTAATAATAAAATAACTCTGTCTAGATGACCACCAGGGACACACTCTGCACTTCTTTATACAGCCTTGGGCTAATGCTAATCAGTGATAACAATGAAAAAGGATAAATCTTTCAACATATAATGTATGAAATGATAGCCAAAGGATGAAGGGGTTGCTAGAGGAGCAAAGAATACAATGTAATAAACTCTGATTGTACGACAAAACTAAAGTGTCTCCCATTGTCCATTCAGGTTATGCCTTCTCAGAAAGATAGCGAGGAGGCTCATGATCACCAGGCAAAATGTGCAAAATATTCTCCATCCTCCAAACGTGCCCGCTTATTTGAACTCAAGACGGACCTATCTTTAATTTTCAATCCTACTGGAAACCTTCCCTCTTCTCCATTACTAATTAGGATGATGTTTTCAGACACTTCTGTTAATTATGAGGAAGGGAAATGTGCCATGTCTGATGCTTTTCGATTTTAATTTGCCTACTCCACTGTAGGACCCCAGCTCAAAATCGACTCTGCAAACCCTCCCCCGTAAAAAATTGATTTCAATTAGCAACTGGTTGCTTTTTAGTTGGCTTTACTTCAGATGTTTACCGGAATAATTATGCATTTGGTGGTTTTGAGGTCTGCATGCTCCCACATCACACCTTCTATCTCATCCAGCCTCAAATCTGATAAAATCACCTTTTCTCCAAGTGATTCTTTCCATTATACAAGCCCTTTTGTATCTCTGATAACGTCCCTTTATGCCAGCTCTGGCTCTGCAGACATGATGCATAATAACATCCGTAATTCCAAAATCCTCAACAAAGAGCTGTCAAATCTTATAAATGATATGACTGAAAATTACATGAGCTCTAAAAGGCTCACAAAAGGACTTTGGCTTTCACTGTAAGTCAATATATCTTGAATATTGACAATATTGATGGATCGTGCTTTACATTGGCTTTAATAGATTAAGGCTTGACAGAAAGAATTGCGAAGGTGGCAAAGATAGAGAGAGCACGGGGATAAGAGAGATTTGACAGAGATGGAGCGAGAGAAGAAGCGACAGCCAATAAGAGATTGCTTTAAGGACAAAAGGCTGTCAGTTGATAATCCTGGACTCTGAGGGAAACTCCTCCTAAGGCTATTCTCCAGTAGAGCACTTGGAACCCCTGCTGTATGTAAATTCACTTGTGTGTGACATACAAGTAGAGTAGATCAAAAGGTGTATTCATAATATGTAAATAGTATGAAAGCCAGGAAGTTCAACAGAAAGTGTGGAGCAAAGGAAGATGGTAGCCTACTGTTTGGCAGACAGAAACAAAAAGCTAGCTTACTTCACAAATAGTTGAAGACTGCTGCTAATAATAAACAACCCTCCATTTCAGGGCAAGTTCGATGTTAAAAATATTCAAAATTCAGACCGCTTCTTTGACTTCTCCTAATCGGCCTGTAAAAGATCTCGATCTCATCGTTTGGTCTTCTGGCATTTCATCAAGACAGAAGCCTCTGATTCACTGCCAGAACATATAAATGGAGTCGGTGTAAACAGAACAGTAACACTAAAATGTTCCAACTTCTGGGTACTTGACACATTTCGGCAACAGCAGGACACACATTACCAATTAAGTATCAGGCACAACCTTGAGGTTATATGTTTTAGCAACAAAGCTAATAAAGATAATTGGCAGTTGCAGCCACAATTTCAGCAGAACATTATTTAAATGTTGTCTGGGAGATGTGCAGAGTTAACAGAGCCAAAATAATATCTCTTTGTTCCAATTTGACACAAATAAGATACAGCCAGGAGACGGTGTCTCTTAATTGCTTTTTTATGTTTAAGCAAAATCCTGCTTTGGGACCGAGACACTATAACTACTAGTAATCCCACAATCTGGAGGATCCTATGTGTCAAAAACGGAATTATAAAATTAATTTCCCCTGAAAATTGCCTCACTTAAGAGCCTTTCAGTGCTAAAGCAAAATGTATTGCACCAATTACAGGAGAGCTCTTGAAAGGGGAAGGCATGGTATTGAAGGCACTTCAATCGGAACTAAGATGTTGAGAAGCACAGGGAGTGTGTTGTGGTGGGGGTTGCATTTTAAAGAGGGCAACGTATGGACACGCATCGACAGGGATGCAGGCTAAGAGGAGAGGACGAGTGAGAAGGCCCATAGGGGATGACAGAAGAGGGATTAAAAGGCTCAGTTATGTATGTTTTCCCTGCGCAGAGTGCCACCATTTGTGTCAAGGAGATAAGTTATGCAGTACACATATTGACATTTTGATGTGTGAGAGTTTCTGTGCAGGGACGCGTTGATACTATATGGAGCTATCTGTGCTCCTGCGCCCATTGGGGCCGTCTGGTTCTCTGAGGATGTTTGTTAAAGCTACTCCTAGATTAATGGACCACAGGAGACAAACTCTGCGTTATTCAACCCTAAACAAGCTTTTCTGTCACTATCAATCCCAGCTCTTCCTTCTAATCAATCCATTTTATAGCAGCTAATACTCCCTGGGCACTGAGATCAACATCTTAATTCCTCTGTCAACAGCTTTCCCTCTCACAAGTGTTGTTTGTAAATGAAGCACATAGAACATTTACAAAGACTACTTTGCTAGACACTAATGCTCATAATAAATCCTAAAACAGGATGCATGAGTTCATTGGACATTCCAGCTCTGCATATGACAGAAATAAATAATAAAGTGCTCTGTCCAGTAGTCTAAAATCAACCGAGTCAATCACAACCACCAACAACACTTTCACTACCTTGTAACTGAAATGATCCATGTTGTTGTCAACTGTTTTTATTGTTTTTGCCTCTTTAAGACGATGAAGAGCCTGGACTGTAGAAAGTAAGGTTGTGTCTCATAGACTTCCAAGAAAGAGGCAGCAAACCCTCCTCACTAAACCTCTGTAATCAGGTGAGGTCGCATTGAACTCTGGTTGGGAAACATAGGTCCTTGGGCAATAGCCAAGACATTACAAAAGAGCAAACCAGAGTGATCTTCAAAAAGGACACTGTTTAATGGTTCAATAATAAGATGATCGTTATTGACAGACCTCTATGGTAAAATGCAGAAGTGACTCTTCATTGAAGTCTGGCAATGCCTGCAGGATTGATTTCTAAAAGGCAAGTGTCCCCCATTTTGCTGATTCAAAACACCCACTCAAGTACAGAAGCAAGTGTTTTGGTCCTCATATCGACCGAGCAACAAAATGCATCAAGCATGAAATTGAGGTTTTCCATTAGACTGCAGGAAAAAATAGACAAATTAAGCAATGCATATCATATTGCATGTCAAATATTCTGCCCTGCAAATGTGGAATCAAAGGTTAATTGCCAGTGACAGAGGAAGCAGCCTGTCCAGGTTGCAGATTGTTCAATGCAAATCTCAGGAATTATGGCATGAGGAGAACATAAACAGGATAACGCACTGTAGGTCTACCCATACTCGCTCCTTCTTCGTTTCAAAGGATTTTTACACACATGTATGAGCCACTTGCAAATACATCATATTACTATAATGAATGAGTCTCTTAATTTCATTCCATGTCTCAATTTGTTCCTTTGGTTAATTAGTGTAATGCTTTTGGTGGGATTATATGAATTAGCAGCATTAGCAACACTATCCTCTGCGCACACTGGGGAAGGAGTAAACCTGTTGCAGCGACAGAGCTGCACAGCTGGCAGTACAATACTACACCTGAATAAACGTGATAACAAGAAAAACATGCACACGGAAAACAAATGAGTATACTTTATAGAGAAGGTGGCATGATGCTCTCAGATGCGCAGCGGATTCAGGGCGCCGTGCGTAAACGATGAAAGTCCTTACCTGTCGTCGGTCTGCCAGTCCCCGAGCAACAGGTCTCGGAACCGGTACCGAGGGGGCAGCGGGAGCACTTCCTTCTCCAGTTCGACCATGGTTCTTCCACAGAGCCCAGAGATAGAGGCAGATATCACCGCAAACCGCACCTCCACACCAAGGATGTGCACCCCCCAAAACCAACTCCGTTCCTCTTCCTTCTGCTATTCAAAACGTAGATTAATAATGAACACATGGATACATCTCATGGCATCGTCTTCGACCTCCTTTCTAAAGAGAAAAAAAACAACTTATTTCTTGTTTGGCACCCGACAGAAAGCAACTTCACTTTTATTCCCGACGAGGCAACAGGTCGAGGATGATCATCCGTCGGTGCGTAGTGGGAGAGGCTGCACTATACTGAGACAGCTGGAGAGCAACTGGTTGACTCTCACCAGCAGCAGCATCCTCCCTGCCTGAGCTCCGCATGAACGCACTGGCAACAAATGTGAACCCGACCGATAGGCACCATAAGACTTTCCCTGTAAGACTGATAAATTATAAGAACAATTGCAAAAACAATATACGCAAAACCTATATCTGTCAAAAAGATACCAAAATGTTTGCAGCATTATGAGCACATCACTTCCCTATGTAAATCTGAATAATAATACAACTCATGGGTGACACGTGACTCTGAGAAATGTCTATATTTCTGGAAAACTGCGTGCACAATCTGAACGACGCTTATGTGTTATATTCTACATGGAGATCTCTTCATCATTAGTATTTTATAAGAAGTAGGTAACAGTGTTTTTTGAGTCCGTTTTTCGGTGGCACATGTGACATATTGGGAATTGTTACACTGAAATATACATGAGCACAAATCCAATGTATTTAGCTTGCCAACTGAGCTGTGAGCGCCGTTGTTCAATCACTAAGCCTCCATATGCTAAGTAAATCAAAAACATAGTCGAGGCAGAAGACATTTTAGAAAGGACATCCCTTCTAAAGAGAATCAAACATAATCCTGTAAAACAAAAACACTAAAAAGTAGACATTCCTCTGAATGTGGGCTATTATTATATTAAATGACAAAAGGTCACGATAAACAAGCTATTATCATAGAAACATGAATGCTTCAGTTTGCCTCTTATTGTAATTAAACAACTTGTAAACTCCTATTATTTACAAAACCCATCATGTTCCTTTGTAGTAGCCTACCAAACTGTGTTAGTCATTATGAGACTAGGGGACTATACAAATCACATGTTTAATCTTGTAGGGCCTGTGGTCATAACAAAAGCAGTAATGCAATTCAAATGTGGTGCTTAAGGGGACTGTTGACTCGGAGCCACAGACAACAGGTGTTATTTAAATCAAAACCAATGATTAATATTAATCAGCAACAGAGCCTCGATAGAGCAGCACCTCAGTAAGCTCCCAACAAAACCGCCACTCAGGTTAAATGGGATTATTGTCCAATGGAGGACAAAGTAGAGAATAGCATTGAATAATGACTTGATATTCAGATGGATGCTGACTGTGTTGTGATTTTTGGAATGTAATGTTTTTGTGCTTTCCTACTTTTCAGCTCATATTCCTACTGTAATTAAATGATTTGCACAAACTAGATTCAGCTGAACTGGTTTTAACTCTACAGGAAAGCTTAACATATTGCATTTTACAGTCACACTGCTCTGGTTTTGTCTATTTTGCCCTCTGGTGGTCATATTGACACAAGCACACAATCTTTGTGAGCTTCAATTGAGCTTGAATTCATTCATATATTCTAACAGACATCTGACAACCACTAGGGGTTAGGGGTTTAGGTTAAAACACCAGAATACAAACACATTTATTTATCTCGTGCCTTTGGCAGAAATGAAACACCAGGTTGACAGGAAGGCAAAATATTTCCAACTTCGTAGCCATGGTAACAACCAAAAGTGTTGGCGCACATCAGAGGAGATAGTTCATGTGTTTCAAACCTCATTTAAACCCCATTCAGTCTCACATTACCATAATGTCTAGTATGAGGACAATTTGCAGAGGCTGAGTAAAGCAGAAGAGAATCAGGCTTCATCTATCAGATCAAAAGCCATTTGCCTCATCGCCAAACAAACAGGCAATTTATAAACAAGTATAAACAAAGAGTAAAAAATAATCATCCGTTAAAAAAGCCATTTAAAATCTTCCAGTCACTGTTTGACATCCCCATTGAGAGCATGACGGTTGCCTTCCAGGTTTTATTCCAGTGTAATGTTGACGGAGGCGAGAGCGTCCACGGCCCAGCCCGGGTACTGGTCACGAGACGGGAACATGCGCTTCATGAACATCCGTATAAACTCAGGGAAGCAGCCTTCCACAATGCTCTGTCTCACAGAGCGCATCAGGTTGAGCTGCAAGGAGCAATAATTGGTGGAAAATAATGTGATTATTGATCTCCAGCAGGTAATCATATTGTATTCTACATCATAAGAGTATACCGTAAGAAAGTTTACATGCTACTACTCACCATGGCAACATTTCAGGGTACCATGTAAGGAAAATTCACAATGGTAAAATTTAAAAAGAAAAGATGTGTGCAAAATTATAAAAATGTCTTATTTTTATTTAACTTTAAAAATAAAGTATTCAAAATAGTGTGCCTAAAAATATATTATTAAGTTTGTCACACGACATGTTTGTGCTCGCCTTTTAAAATTCATAATCACATAATGTCATTTTAATTTGATTATTAAAGATGATTTTGTTATATGATTTAATGTAATGCATTTTATTTAGTGGTTAAATGTGTTTGTTGATGTATAATCTAGATTCAATATCTAGTTATGATGTGGTTTTATCTACAGAGACATTTCAGATACTGACCTGGTAGGCAATGTTGTGGATAGTGACGTGATGCATGGCTGCACTGTCACTCTTAAACAGAGCATGGAGGTAAGCCCGACTGTGTCTGAAAAAGAAAACAGATTTATTTTGTCTCCCAGGAATGCAGTTTCAAACAAATGCATTCAATAAGGTATTCCTGAATCGCCAACAAATCCCTCTTTTATACCAAATAGTGTACATTAGTGCTTTTTTAACTTCATAATTTAACATATGACAGGATGATACAAACATGCGTTGTTGGTTTATTGACTTACCTTTTGCAGGTGGGACATTGGCAGTCTGGGTCTATGGGCTCGAAATCTTTGGCATACTGCTTATTTTTTATCTGGAGAGATCCCCAAGGAACCAAGGCTGAGCCAAACCTCTAAGGAAACAAAAACATGACTGTCAGAAAATAGTTTTTCAATTGAAAAGAAAGCTGAATGATCAGTGCTAATCAGAGTGTGTGTGTGTGTGTGTGTGAGTAATAGAGAGCTTACCGCAGTGCGGGTGGGGAACACACAGTCAAACATATCACATCCCAGAGCAACACACACCACCAGATCCACAGCATACCTGCAGCACATGAATAAATCATCTGAATGATTTAATATTAAACTGAATATTTGTCAAAAGGCAAAACATGTACACACCATGATTATTTTTTAAATGAATATGAGAATAATGATGCAACTGCAATTACCGGTAGATATTTTTTCCAATCATTCAGCCCTACCATAAACACCACAATTCTCATGGAATATTTAAGAAAACGTACCCAACACCCATGAGGTATCGAGGCTTTTCCCGTGGCAGGTGGTCAGTGCTCAGGGTCACCATCCTCCAGAAGTCATCCTTCTCCTCTCCTCCACTCAGGCCTCCGATGGCAAAACCAGGAACATCACGTTGAGTCATTTCTGCAGGAAGGGGATAAGATGTCTCAAGCACAACTTCTGGACCTTATCATCAGTTTCAAACAGTTTAGGAATGTACAATTTACAACAAGATTAGCCAGCTAGAGCATGCATTTCACTAAAGGTTACGGGGCTTCTGCAGCCAGGGCCTTTCAGCTCTGGGCCCCCTGTCTGAGGGTTTCAGAATTGCAGAATTAGAAACATATTTTTTTACTTCTCAAAAATTATGTTAAAAGATAGCACACCATTTTACTAGTTTCCACCGTGAAAAGTACTTAATAACTTTACTTTAAAATGTATGTATAAGTGTATATCACTATTATATTTCAGTTTTCTTTGCAAAACTGCCGATGGCTACCAATTTCCTTGCACAATATATTTTTTATAAAGATCTCTAAATTGCAAATATATGATTGCTCTTCACCTCATGATACTGCCACTTGTATGATACACACAGACTTTTTCATGAGATAAACATGTTAAAGCTTATGTACATCCATTTATACAAATAATGTAGTAATAGAGCCCCTTTCCAAATTATTTCAAATAATTGAACTGTGGAGCCATTTCAACATATTCTCAGTCTCCCTCCGAATATGCAGATCCCATCCTCCAGCATCATTACAAGATATACAAAGACAGAGATAGAAAATCAAAAGAAGATAAAAGGATCACAACAATGCAAGATCTTATTACCATCTAGACAGGCCTTGCGCAGCTCTGTATTTAGCCCTCCCTGGATGATGGCAAATAGGTTTTGTTTTTCTGGATTTTTATTGGCTGATATGCAGCGGTCCAGCCAGCGAATGGATCTGTGCATTGCCTCCTCCACCCGCGGCCCTGTCACCGTACTGCTGACCACATCATCAAGCTGCATCATGATGTCTGAACCTGGAGGGACACAAAGAAGCATGGGGAGACCATCTATAAGTCACTGGGAAACTGACAGAAGGTACAAGTATTTGGTATTCGATACTCGTTACATTATTTTAGCACACCTAGACTGTTCTGTATGCTGATGGATTTCTCAGGAGTAAGGAGGATCTCTTTGCCATCATAGGGGGACTTGAACTTCACCCCTTCCTCTGTGACCTCTGAGAGCTCGACAAGAGACACCATCTGAAACCCCCCACTGTCCTGTAAGCAGAGGAAAGAAAACACAACATATCAACACAGATGTCATCACCTACATTGTACTTTTGTGAACATTCATCATCTATGCAGTACTCACAGTTAAAAGATAATGTATGCACTCACAGTTAAAAGATTCCTCTTCCAATTCATGAACCCGTGTAAACCATTGGCTTTCTCGATCAAATCAGGCCCCTGCAGGCCAGTAAAGTTGAAATGGAGAAAAACAATACAAAGTTTCCATGAATTAATCAAGTCACTATTAAAGTCAATTGAGATATCATAACATCTGAAATGCTATTATTATTGTGCTGCCTACCGGTCTCATGCCCAGGTGGTATGTGTTTCCAAGACAAATCTGACAGCCAAGAGCGTCCAGCTGATCCACAGTGATTCCCTTCAGAGTACCCTGAGTCCCGACAGGCATGAAGACCGGGGTGCTGACGGCCGAGTGGGGCAGGATTAGATCACAAGCTCTTGCTTTCGTGACAGGGCATTCAGCGACGATTCGCAGAGTGAGTGGAGAAGTTACGGATAAAGCTTTCTTGAGGGACATGATGTTTCCAGAAGTGTTTGCAGCAGCTCCACACTTTCTGGTCGCAGCCATGTTGAAATGTGACGTGAACGGCAGCAAATTGGGAAATCGTCTTGACCAATCAGAGTTAAGATATTTTTTTAGAGCAAAGAACACGCCTTTGGACTATCCAATAAGAATGTCAGTTTGACAGAAGGGCAGCTATGGTAGCCAATAAACTACCTGCTTTCTTTGACAAGAGGCGGGTCTCTACTCGCCGGTTTCGGTCGGATGTCATCTCCTGTCTTACCGGATGGTGTGTTTTGTAGAGGAAGTTTTGTTTTGCGAGTTTTCCGTCCCTTTCGACTGACTGGGTACTTAGTTAATGCACTTAAAAGACCCCGAAATGATATAAGTGTGAATCGCATTACCGTTAACCGTTAAAGTGTTCAAGGTGAGGACAAAAACCGGTGTTGTTTGAAACGGCGGATCTCCACTCTTCAGAGTAACCCGAGAGCACCTTCCTGCTAAGCTAACGTTACCTAGCTAGTTAGCGCGGATAGCTTTTGGGTCTGGTTTGCGTCCTGTTTAAGGGGCTCTCCGAGCTAACGAAGCCATGGGGAACCGGGGCATGGAAGACCTGATTCCCCTGATCAACAAGCTTCAAGACGCATTCAGCACCATTGGTCAGAGTTGTAATTTAGACCTTCCTCAGATTGCGGTGGTCGGTGGACAGAGCGCTGGGAAAAGCTCAGTCTTGGAGAATTTTGTCGGCAGGTAAGTGAAAGTGTCTCACTAAGTTAACATGTTCAATCATCTCCTGGTTTACAAAGTTCCTTGCGTGGTATCACGTTATCACACGGTTTTTAATTGTTTTATTTGACATAAAAGCTAAGCCAGCATTACTTGCTCTAACAGCACGTAACGTCAATATGAAGTTACGCACTTGTCGTAAAACTGCCTTGAAAGTCTGATAGTCGCTTCTGGACAGGTTCACCAACTTCACGTACATACGCTATCTACGTGGCTAAGCAGTGGACCTGTTAACAACTTTTAATCAAGTTTTGTGAAACTAGTGCTCAAGTGTTGGCTTATATTCAACAACAGACAATATTCAAACTATAGTAGTTGGATAGACATGCTATTTTCTTCAGTGGGCTCTCAGGTTGTTTCCACCATTGCCAATATTTTTGCTGAATGTATTTGCCCTCTTAAACTCTCAGTAAAGGTTTTTGTACCTGGCTGGTTCCCTCTTTACACTGACATTTTAGCATGGCCAGATAAGACATTCTATACAATGTATAACTAATGTTGTTATGTGCATTGCAGGCATTGTTGTTTTGCAATGGTTACCTGTTTCCTTCTATTTATGATTTAATATCACACCCAGAATGTCTCACAAGATTTGTATTTACCAATTATTGTTCTTTGTCTGTAGCTCACAGCTGTTCATTAGAAGGTTTATTACGTTACATAACAGTTTGTTGTTTGTTTAGTATGTTTATTATTTTCAATGTGGGAGAACAAATATGTTATAGAGAAGGTCAGCAAGGTGAAGCTGGTCAGCCAATGCGAGCCACCTCCCTTCCCTTAGGGATGTGGATATTTGCAGCTGTATTTGTAAAAATTGTATGTAATGTAATGCACTGCTTTTGACCTTAATGTACTCAGTCTTTCAACAAAACAAGCTCACATCTCTAACAGACACAACTTCCCTCACCATCTTCCTCTTTTGTTATTGTTTCTGGCTAAACTTTAGGATTGAAAAGAATATGTCCCTCCATTCTCTGTGGTGTGAGGTTTGAGCTATAGAGCTCCTCAACAGGCCGTTCCTGTTGTTCTCTCCCACATCAGCAGTAAGTGAGATCACCCTGTAGATAAAGAAACAAAACAAAGTCAATCTGAAGCAGCTTGTTTAGCCGGTTTTCAGCCCATAGAGAGACACCCAGTGTGTCTGGGTGTAACCCAACCCGCACACAGGCTGCACACATATACTGCAGGCCATTCTACAGATAAGAGGAAGGAAGGCATGCAGACAGGCCTTTGCTTATTAACACACTGACAAGAGCATGGCGTAACTGCTCTCAGGCAAGAACACACACAGATTAGACTACCACTCAGCTCCCATTAATTCAGATGAGCAGGATTTTGCCCTATGAGTGCACTTGACACATATCAGCTGTAATTAACACGAGACAAAATCACCGCAATCTCAATGCCTGTGTGTGCAGCACTAACATTCCGCCCAGCGTACGTCACACAAACAATTTGCATATGCTATGATATAAACCTTTGAACGTGCTTTGTCCTTTCATGAAGTATATGAGCGGTGGACTTGAGTCTTTAACAGCTTTGTATCCAACAGCAGTACAGCAGCTACTCTGTGTGCCTATTGCTGCTGTGTAGGTAAACTTGAAGGCAGAAAGGGTGGAACAGTAAACTCATAGCTTCAAGGTCGAGTCTCACTTTAACCTGGAAGCATTTGGGAGGTGCTTCATATCACTATAACAACAGGTGTGCTAATGTAGAAGTGACTCATTGTTGATCTATGGGCTTGTTTAAGCCCAAGAGCAGCCAATAGTAATCCCAATAGCATGTGCAGTCATATGTTGCACAAAACTACGAGTGTTTAGTGTGGCAGCATATTTGATTAACAATTCTCTACTGTAACACCAGTCTTTAAACATGAGGGCTGAGCTGCTGTTAACGCCAGTAATTATTGCTCTATGGTTTCCCTGGTGGCGGAGGTTTTTATTTTGGTGTTGTGTGTCAAAGGTTTGATTCTTACCGCCTTGTCTGTAAATAATCCATCTTTTAATTTCTGAGGCACCAACAATAGCGGAAAGAGGGTCACTTAGTGCTAGGAACAGACTCATTTCAGACCTGTATATCTGTTTACATGGTCCTCTCCTTCCGTCGCTCACCTGATCATATTTAACACATCTGTGCTACGTGGTTTCATTTACTGCTTCTCTTTCTTTAACTGTTCAATGCTCTGCAATCATATTATGCATGTTTGTTGTTGCACCGTTTCTGCTTTACATTTCCTAGCTCTGAGCGAGTAGAGAAAATACCAGCTCATGGTCTGTGTGTTTTCTGTCTTTCCGTTGTCATAGTCCGTATTTCCGTCCCCCAGCAGGTCAGGTGGGATTGTGATACCTCGTTGACCTGCGTGACCCATCTTGTGGATGTCATTTGGGCCTCTGTTCCCTCCAAGTTTGTTAGCGCAGACAAGAACAAATTGTCTGGTTGATTTGCGTACTTTGCTGAGCAGAAGATAATCAAATCACTTTAGCTCAACTAACGGCCTCATGGACTTTGATCGTTTCATTTTTTTCGTATGGGCCTGTGTGATTATGTGTTGTTTAGGTTGGCATCAGGGCACCCTAATGAGGACCATTAAGTTCAGCTGACACATTAAAAGTATTTACACTTAAATCAGTTACACATTATCATAATATGATATTTTATTGGCTTGTCTACATCTTAATGGATGCTCTATTGGGCTTTTTAGGAATAATAATCAGGACCGTGTCTCAATTTCTGGCTGCGTTGTGTCATTGTCCTAGTGGCGAGTAAATACGTCATATCTATGACAGCAAGCTGTCTGGGTGGAGGTTTTTATCAGATCTGTGGCAAGTAGTCTACTGAGAGACCAGGAGGTTTTAAAGCTCTTGAAGAGTTGTTCTATAGCTGTACTACATCTTCTACTACATCATTTTGTTTGATTACCATAATTCTGTGCCACATTAACAACAATATGACCATGTTAGCATCATTCAAACCTTTAAAATGAGTTTCTACCATTGCTATGAGTAGTAGTAGGAGACATGGTCTGGGTTGATGGCATGGATGCTAAGAGGAATTAGAACGGAAATGTCCTCCAGTGTAGAATCTTTTCAGAAGCACAGTGGATTTCCCTGTGAGGAAATAGAACAGACAATCAAAGAACAGAAAGCAAAGGGATTTCCCACTAAGCAGTTGAGTTTTGGTTGTGCTTGAAAAGGCTTTGCTGCTTAGCGATGCTTCTTGGTATACCCACACTGACAGACTGTGGTGCGGGACTGCGGATAGCCATAATTATACGTTCTTTGCCACACCAGAGAGCCATGGGATTACTCCCACTGAACCACAAACACAGTTTTGTGTACTTTGCCCTCCCGTGAGAGCATAGCATGACATAAGAGTTTCACACACCGGTTTCCGTGTTTGAAAAGGAGCCCCGCCAGGCCTCTGTAGACTGGAGGGAAGCAGGATCAGCTGGAGGCTGTGGATCCTCAGAGTTTGTTAGTTTGTAAGAGTCACAGGCTGGCAGGCTGGCAGGGGGAGGGGAGTTGGCTTTGCCCATCTCTCCCGGTCCTACTCTCTCGCTTTTTTTTGTGTGCAAGAGGGAGGGTGGCTCACAGACTGATGCTCGTTGCCTGGCCATCCATAATGCATGAAATGATACACAATCTGCTCAGCCTCGTTTATCATTTACAGCCCATCAATAATGGAATCCCGGCCTCGTGCTTCTATTCAATATGCCACTGCTGTTTATCTAATTCTGTCTATGAAGACTGACTGGTTCTTATGTTATGTCTTCTCAGAAGAACATTTGTGAAAAGAACATTTTGTTGTGTGTGTGAAGCATATCCTTTCCCTTGCTGTAGTTTTTGTTCTGAATCCTCCCTCCCTTGCTCCCATTCCTCGTCCAGGGCTTTCTATACCGTCCGCTGGCCGTGTGAACAAATGTCTGCATGCTCCACTTTATGTTCATGACACAGCACCAGCGCTGAACCACAGACCTGGGGATTTTTGCTGATGTAAGGAACATCCAGAACGTTCCCCTCTGTTCCACCACAGGACTGCATTATGTTGTATGTCAGCTCCTCTCGTTTCTCCAGCCCTGTGCCTGACACATTCACAGTCTGAAGTCGCTGCCATGGTACCATCAGGCCTGTGGGTCTGGCAGTAGAGAGGGAAAGGAGAATGGGTTGGTGACATGCTCAGCTCTGCAGATTGTTCAAGTTCTGGGTGTAGTGATTAGCCCCAGATGTAGTGAGTGGGCTCAGCAGCAGAGAGGCCTTCAGAATTTGGAGGAGAGTGCACTAGACTGGGTTGAGGAGCCTCAATTCAGTTCTGACTAAGCAACTTTGGTCATGTGCCTGTTAAAAATTCTTCAGTAACCCTGTCACTTTAAAACAAGCCAACTGCGAGAGGTTTCTCATTGTTTCCTACAGGTTGGTGACTCACTACCAATAGCAATTGCCCCTTGTTTGTTTACTGTTATTTCATGCTCAGTGCAGTTGCATTACCTTGTGTTGTGTAATGAAGCAGCATGATGCAGGTTTGCAGCCGAGGATGTGCACACCGCAAGACACTGTCAAGTCTCAGGCCCGAGCCTAGTGTGGTTAGGGCGTTATCATGGTCCATAGGTCTTGTGTTGACACAGCCTGATCTTACACAAAAGCTAACAGCCAGAGGTCAGCTAGGCCTTGCCTTTAATTAAATGGGCAGCCAATTTATCAGCAGGGAGCAAGTTCATGGGTTAGGGTTAGAAAATGAAAACAGCCACTTTACAAAATCTCCATCACGAACCGGTAATCCACCCTAAAGCAGAATTTAGATTTTGAATATCCAACAATAAGAGAATTCAGTTTCAGCAACATTAAACTTGAGTGAGACCGCATCTGTGTCAGCAATTACACAATGTTTTAATGTCACCCAGTTAAGAGTTATACAAATGTTTTCAGTTCTCTATGAAACTGTGACAGGATTTATTTTTGTATTACCATGGATGCTTTCACAGTGTTGTAGGATTGGTTCCAATACTGTCACACTGTCTGTGGAGCAGCTTTACAATTTGTCTGAGCTACTGAATCCATACATTTAAAGTGAGGAATATTGTCAATACAACATCTGTAAATTACATTTTAGGGTGGATTCCCCCACTATCAGTGAGAGTGGGTGTGAATTGACCTATGAAGCTCTAATGATGAGAGAAAATGACTTTGTCACATTTGATTTGTTGTGAGACGAGTTGGGGGGCCTGAAATACCTCATCCCCATCTATTTACGAGAGGCCACGCTGCGAGGAAATGGATATTGGTTGTAATGAATAATTGAACGTCCTTTCTGTCGCTTTCTCTCTCTCCCTTTCTTACTTTCTTGTACGATTTATTTTCTTTTGCTATGTGTCTCTCTCTGTCCTGACCTGCCCGTGTTTTACCCAACATGCCCCTCTCCTTTTTCGATTTCTTCCTTTTCATCCTTTGTACTCTTTACAATTCTGCCGTTAATGTTTCTTCCTCTGTCTGCCTTTCTCCCTCAGGGACTTTCTTCCACGTGGAAATGGCATTGTTACCCGAAGACCTCTCATTTTGCAGCTGGTCAATAATACCGCAGGTGAGTGTGCCGGCCACATCCCGTCTCCTTTCATTGCTGCCCTGCACATGGCCTCTCGGTCACAGTGCCTCCAGCTAGAGCTCACTGTCTACTATTTGCTGCCTTCATCTCTTTAATTTAATATTCTCTCTCCCCTGTTCTCATTGTTTTTTTCTCTCTCCCTCTATGCTCTCTTGTGTATGTCACTCTTCCCCTGTGTATAGAATATGCTGAATTCCTGCACTGCAAAGCGAAGAAGTTTGTGGATTTTGATGAAGTGCGGTCGGAAATTGAAGCAGAGACCGAGAGGATAACAGGCGCCAACAAAGGCATCTCTCCCATCCCAATTAACCTGAGGGTCTACTCCCCCAACGGTAATGGGCACACATCTTGTTGAAAAACACACAGTGGTAACACTTTGTCACTTGGCTTACTACATGTAAAGAACACTTGCATATTATTTGACAAGATAAATCGTATTACAATGTGATGTTGCCCACCATCATATATTTTCACATACTTATTTTTAAACATATGGTTGTATAGGGTTATAATAACTAGGGATGTCCCGATCACCTTTTTTTGCTCCCGATCCGATTCCGATCATTTGATTTTGACAATTTGCCGATAACGATTTTTCCCGATCCGATCTTTATGCAATGCATTAAGAGAAAAAAAAGAAAAAAAGCATTCAAGTTGTCCCTTAAGGTTATTTTTTTATTTAAATTGGATATTCTATCCAACATGGATATAGCTTCTTTTTTTCACAGCATCATTGGATCAGTTCAGTTGTGCAGCATTGGATCAAAACAAAATAAAGCTTATCAGTACTCGTTAGCTTACTGCTACAGTTAGACACTGCGCCCACTCTGTTGCCAGATTTGAGAGAAATAAGCAACCAGGTCTATGAAAACAAGCCCAAAAGAAGCAACAAATACATGATGTTCTGTAATTTGAAACCAAAACTAAGGCGTCAGGATGACTTTAAGACTTGAACATGGTCATTTTTGTTTTGTAACATTGAATACAAAATTTAAAAAAAGTATTTAAAAAAAAAAATCCCGATCCCCGATTTTTTTCTCCCCATTCCGATCTTTTGAAAACCACGTGATCGGCTCCGATCCCCGATCACCTGATCGGATCGGGACATCTCTAGTTATTATACTTCAATGAGTGACATTTGACATTTTTGCTGTAGATAGTCAATGCATTTACACTGAAGAGTTTTTGACAGAAGATATGTATATGTGACATATATGTGGTAACATGGAGAAAATCATATATCACAATATTTTGGACCAAATGACTTTGATACTGATATTGCGACAATATTGTTTGATTGACCGCTGGTTCTATCCAAGATATTTTCATAGAGAGAATATGCAGAAAATGTCATCTGTAATGTGGTTTTGATGAGTCATGTCAGAAAATGAAATCCCCACACTGTAATGCAACCTCTCAAAACAAGGAAAAGACCACACTTACGATGTTACGATAAGCAAGATGAACGACATGGTCTAGTTTCATATTATTGATTCAAAATGTAAATATTGCACAGCCCTAACTCACATTGAAAACTACTTTCAATGTGGGCAATACAATCAAAGATACAGCTGCTTGTTTTCTGCTTACTTTTAATGTTTTAATACCCAATTTAGTGTATTTAAAGTAGAAAGCAGTGTTACCTGATGTAAAGCGGTGTTCAGTGACAGCCCTCCTGCCCGTCAGATGCTGAGCTCTGGCTTTCTCTTTTCCTCTGGCTAAAGAAAGGGAAACAGATCAAGTTACAATCATGTACTGACATATGACACATGCTCTTACATTTCATAACACACAAATCAGACCCTCCAGAGTCTTGCCATCATTAGCTACATTTCATTTAGCAGACACATTTATCTGAAGCAGGGGAGTCTCCAAAGCGTACGAATTACAGAGAAGATTAAATAACTGCACATTTCACAACTTTTTGTAAGTTTAATTCATTTACACGGCAGAGGGATAACTTAACCTTCTTCCTTACTAGTTCCCACTTTAGTTTGTATGGTGGTGTGTAAAAAGATAGTTCATTTGATTTTCAGAATGTACTTATTTGCACTAAAACAAGTTGGAGTTCTGGTTATCTAAAGGTTATTATAATAATAATAATAATAATAATAATAATAATAATGCATTTTATTTATGGGCGCCTTTCAAAGCTCTCAAGGACACCTTACAGAGCATAATTAAAAACAACCAACGAAGAAGATCACACAGTAATACAAGACTTAAAAACAAAGACTTAAAAACAACAATCAGTTTAGAAAAATTATTAAGATATTGAATAGGCCAGTTTAAAAAGGTGGTGTTTTCAGTGTGTTTTGTTTAAATTATGCGTGATGATGTTACTTTGTGAGACGCCCCATGACATCAGCTGTATGTGGGCCCCTGAACTGAAAGTGTAGTTTTGAGGACCCTGATCCTAAAGTGACGTACATAACTTCAATGCCGTAAGGAAGTATTTGGGAAGGTATCTTCTCAATCTGAGGATTGAACCACACCCTTGATGGTGGACGCCCATTTAGGAAAAGGTATCTATGCATAATAGTATATCTGTCAGGGAATTCTAATAAAGTTCAAGAACATTTGGAATGGTATCCTCAAAAATTGCGCCAAAAGTATTTACAATTTCTTGAAGCTCTGATACACAGTCAAGCTAATGTCAGCTCTCGCAAAGTATGTTTTGAATGTCCCGACCACGTGTTTGAACGACACTCAGGCCCCTGGCTGTAACATGCCGATACACAGCAGCTTCTGAGTGATTCTGTGCAGTTACTGTAACGCGTCAGGGGGGCGCTTCATCCCCAAACACAACACACGATACTACCACACACACAACACACACACACAGTTACACACGACGACGCACATAGTACACTCACTCACACACTTCCACTTCGTGCTGAGACAAATGGTTCGGTGCAAAAGACCTTACTTTCACATGAACCGAGGGCATTTCCTGTTGCAAGAACAAGCTGTGTCGCATGCGCATTAAAAGGGCATTTCAACTAGTCCTGTGTATACTGCAGCTATGATTCAGCCTCGCAAAGTGTGACTCGTGTCTCTGTGGCGAATGAGTCGAATGTAAGGACACTTTGTTTGGTTAAGGAAGATAGAGAGCCGACTCATATACAAAGCTTAATGTCTATGTCGTCGGTCCAGTGTGGAACAGTGTGGTGCATTTCAGTAATAGTTACTTTTTTAAAATACATCATATTTCACCTTTTGCACTTCCAGTTTCCTTAGTATAGTCATTATGTACCAAGCCGATAAGACTGACAGAAATCTGAAGTCTGTTGTGTGCGCTGCATCAATGCTCCCCACTCGCACCCGGGACTGATAAAGAGGAAGGGCTGGAGTCACAGCGAGTAAATTTACTTAAGAAATGGGGAAGAGTGCCACAGCAGCCAATCACATCGGAGTACTGCCGGAAAACCCTGGGGAAGCTTTCAGTGAGGGCAGAGTTTCAAGTAAAAGCACCACTCAATGCTTCCCGAGTGTGTGCTAGAAGATAAAGTAGTGGACTGTCTTTTCACGATACTCTGGGCTGTGTTCTGGTGATATCTGGGGC